ACCAAATTCAAATACTAAGGTTCGTTATTAACAGGGGAAGCTGCGGGAAGCGTAACATCAACATATTGCTTGCTCATCATTTACACTTAAGACTTGGCGGCAAGAAAGTCACGGGGATTTCCTGAAGTGGTCATTGCATCCTATCCGGGGAACATGCCTTCCTCACACTTCCTGAGCTGGTCTGCTGTCTCCCGCAAATACAAGTTGCAAAGCACAGTGGTAAAGGTACCCACATCCACCCAATATTTATACATCCTGCCAAAGAAACTGCACCACCATGTGGGATAAGGGTTATCATCATTCTTGTGACCTGTGCAACGCTTACCACCCAGCCTTCCCGATCTGCTTCGCAGAACCACCAGGCCTCTAGCTAGTCTGGTGAGCATTCTTGAAAAAGCCCGAAAACTGCCCAAACAATCCCAAGGAATCAACTGCGTAACAAGGAAGCGACATGACAACTTGCACGTTCTCGGGCCTCCAAGACTCATAGCAACCAGGTTTGGTCAAGAATGTAAGGACCTGGCACAAAAAATGCGTCTGAAATGCGCAGATCGCTGTCAGGAGTAATGCACGAAGCTTCAGTTGCCTTCACTTCAAGGAGAGCTTCGCGGCAGTTGGCTGCAACACATTAGCCCCCCGTTAGGCTCAGCTGCATGCCAGTACCACAGTCTTGCCAGCAAGGTAGCTTGGAAAGGATCTGATAGAATGAGGTTCAAAGCAAGGACATGCAGCGGAACGCAGCTCAAGCACAGTTGATTTTAATCCGTAGCCTTTGTAACTCTCGACGTTGCTTTCTGCTCGCCGGGCAAAGCAACAGGGTTTGCTGCTGATGAGACGATGGGTGGCGTTGCGTTCACAAAGCTTTTTCAGCTTGTTCGCTCTTGGCCAACTGCGAAAGACTGGCAGGACTGAGCCACTACAAGCCTTGCCAGGTAGCGTCATTCAAAACCTACATCAAGCCTTTGGAGGGGGCATGTCGCTTTCTCGCGTTTCAAGCAACTGCTGCAGGCCGGCAAGAGGCTCGCAACTGCCGCAGGCCCGCGAGATGCACCTCTGCGTCTCCAGCTCGAAAGTCAGGGTGGAAATTTCTGCTCACACAACGCCCACCCTTGGAAAAGTGGTCTTTGTAGGTTTTGACAGTTGCTCAGATTCAACGAGGTTCAAAAGACGAACAAGCAGACAGCGATGCTGCTTTCTGCTTGAAACAAAGACAGCATTTGCTGCTGTTAGAAAGCTTTTTGGCTCTGGGCCGAAAGACGAGCAGGACCGAACCACTGAAATATGGAAGCATTTGCAGCATCCTGATGATCATCATCGTCATCATCTCCATGTTGTAGCGCTTCATCCTCTTCATCTGACGTCTCTTCCAGACCGCCATGCTGTGCAGACATCAGCAAAGCTCGATGCTCGTCAGCCGTGCATTCCACGGACCACTGCAAAGAGCGAAGCAAACAATCGACTCCTCCATACATGGCGCCAGCAAGCGATAGCGTGATGTCAAAGGGATGGCCTGCAGCCACATGCAGGAGACTCGTGGCCAAATTGTGGGCCAAGCAGCCAAAGCAAGAAGCCCCAAGAACCGTCGGCCAACAAGGGGCAACAAAGACTGCATCACTTTGCATGAGCAGGGTCAGCAAAACCTCGTCCACATGAACATGCTGGCGAAGCCCGCGCACCTGTTGCTCCAATTCTTCAACACTCGAACATTTCAGAAATGCGTACTGGTGTCGAGCTATGACCTTCAGGACAATGTGCCTCAGTTGAGCTCGGGGGTCGGCAGGGTCATAGTTGCCAGCAGGAAACAGCAAGTGATGGAGAAGGCGGACGTGGTACTCGAAAGGCTGCACTTCTGCGCGATGCGCTTCGGTCAGCAGAGTTGACAATAGCCACTTGGCAAGTTCTTTGAACATAAGCTCGCCCTCAGGGAATCTGGAAAAGCTGTATGCCAGGTCAGGCCATTGGGACTGTGCTAGACTCCAAACAGCAGTGGCATCGCAGTCGAGTCCGGTATACCTCTCAAAATAGTCGCCCAGCTGGTACCGCTGAAACAAGTCGACGAGAATCTGAAAGGTCTGCTTCTCGTTCCCCAACACTGCCATGATATGCGCTGCCAGGCGAGCAAAGATCGGGTGGTAGCCTAGGTCTGGCTTCCAGCAAGCAAAAGCCCGGAGCACCTGCGCCAAAACTCCATAGTCACTGTCGGGGATTGCGTGGTGTCCCCTCAAGACAAATCCGAATGATTGTCTCCAAACCTTGTCTGAGTGGTGGCACCATCCGGATCGGATTCTTTTGGCACATAGGCATGTCTCGAGCTGACAAACATATGTTTGTCTAGTTGAAGGCCAAACAAGAGCAGACATTTGCCAACCACACGCGCCTACTAGATCAGGGACACCTCAACCTCCAAAATCCTGAGAATTACCCAATGCAACAAATATATATACATATATATATATATATATATATATGAAGACTTCCCATTTCAATGAGCAAGCTGCAAAAACTTGGCGAGCTCCGTTCACCCGTTTTGGTTGATGTTCCCTCGTGTTTTCCCCTATGTTCCCTGTTCGCAACCCGCGCATTCTTGGTTGACGTTGGAAGGGGAGCAAACATTTAAACTTTAGCATCTTTAGCAGTTCAGTGGGGATTTCTTGAGGGATTTCACACTAAACCACAATAAGCAAACATGTAAAATGTTGTTTCCCAACAACAACCATGCCTTGGCCAGCTTCAGGCGCCCCTGCTCCGTGCCGTAGGAGGGGATCGCCGGCAGCGAGAGCTGCACGTCGGTGGGGCGGCGCCGGGACCGGGTGAGGTCCAGGGCCTGGGTGATCTGATACTCCACCTCCGGGTGCTCCTCAAATTGGCAGTGGTTGTCAAAAATAGGGTAACCCCAAAACGCCCCAAAATGGGTTGCCCTGGTAAGTGGCAACATGGACCAAAACCTGTGGTCCCCTGGTGGTTTAATTTTGACCCACACCCAATTCACTCACTGCAGGGACTCAAAAAGAATATATGTAGCCCCAAAATGGGTTGCCCCTGATTTCAAAAAAAAGAAGTGCGGCCCATGTCCTGGTTTAAGTTTGACCCGTAAGTCAGTGCAGGTGAAAGCAGTCACTGACATGGGTCGCAGGTGCAGGTCGGTGCATGTCAGTTCAATGTCAACCTAAGCACTTAAAAGAAAAAACTCTTGAGTCACTTGACCGCGATCTTGAACAAGCTCCTGTGCGTTCAGCAGGATCTCGGAATAGTGGATGCCTTTCTGAGCGCCGATCTGCTGCCAAAGCTTAGCGTAGTTTCCGCAGAGGTGAGGGCCCTGCCAGCCTGCATTCACCTGTTGGTCGCTGGATACCTCGATGCTCTCTCTCCCCGCTCTCGCAAATCGCCCCGGCTCGGCCGGCATCAGAATGGAAAAGTCAAGCCAGAAGCATGAGGGGGCCAGCGTGCGGTATGCCCATGTTTCATATTGTTGTTTTGTCGGTCCTTTGGTCGGGCTGGTGAGTATACTGCGCGTCCTGTGGTATGCTTCAAGTTTGGCACGAATGCCTGAGGATTGATCGCGCAACTCTCGAAAAGCTTGGCTTTGTAGCCTGGCAGGCGCGCGAGGCACGTCTATAGCCAGGTCCGGGTGCTCAATGTAACGTGAATGTCATGAATGTCGTGTTGCGAAGCTTTTTTGTTTTCCCCCTTGTTCACATCAGGGTGTCACAGCTCAGAGGTGAAGTGCAGGAATCCAGTCTGCGTCGAGTTACTCCCGCAAATGAGCGCACCTGGACTCGATCCTCGCAATGAGACTCTGCAAGGTACCGCCAAGTAAGTACCACCTCAGCCAAAGCATGCCTTGCTCTTAGAATGTCCAGTTCAAGACTGTCTTGCCTTTGAGTGTACCGCACTGAGGAATGAGCTGATGCGAGCCGCCACAGACTATGCAAGCGAACGTTTGGCCGAAGGGTTTCCACGTGCCTGGCTCAGCATCTTGGTGTAATTCACTAGCCAAACGTGAGCAAACAGTTTGGCAACACCTGACTTGCGCCTGACACAAAGGCAGCGACCACAGTCAGTGAGGATGCAGCATCCCCACAGACCAATACTTGCCTCCAAAGCCCCTCCGAGAATGCATCCAAACCTTGGCAGAACACAATAAGCGCGGCGCGCGTCTTTCCACGAAGAGCTGCAAAGCACTCTACGAGGAATTATCAGGCAATGGAAGAAACCCTTTTGGGAATCATTTGGCAGGCATCCACTGCAACTCGTTTCGGCATGTCTTTCGCCAGGTTTGAATAGCCTGCCGGCTCAGCCAAATGTCACCAGCAAGCATCATCACTTCTGTTGGGCCATATGTTGGGTTGCCGGAGTGTGCTTGCAGTGACAAGTGCGTCATCCGACATAAGTAGTGTGTTGATCGAGGCTTGTAAGGCGCATGCCGTCATATTCTGCCTGCTTGGGATTGTTGGGTCCGTCGCGGAACAAGCCATACAGTACAAGTGATTCGCACACTTCCGCAGCTCCAGCTCGAAAATCACATTTTTGTAGCACAAGTGTAGTACCCGAAACACACTTCTGCAGCTCCAGCACGAAAATCGCAACTTTGCAGCACAAGTATAGCATGCGAAGTACACAGCCATAGCTCCGGTGCAAAAATCCAAGTGTCGTACGCGAAGCACACTTGAAGACACCTTCACAACTCCAGCTAAAACATGCAACTTTGCAGCACAGGCGTGCCTAAAGTACACCTACTTAGTCAGCTCCAGCGGGAAAATCGAAACGTCATAGCGCAAGTGTAGCGTGCAACGTACACTTCGGCAGCTCCAGCTCAGAGATCGCAACTTTGAAGACTTTGAACGCGGCGAAAGTTTAGTCCGTGAAGCATGCGTCCGCACGCAGCTCCGGCTAGAACCTTGCAACTTGGCGGTACAAGAGTGTTCGCGCAGTAAGTTCCGCAGCTCTAGCTCGGAAACCTCAACTTTGTAGTTGCGTACGTTCGCGCTACGCGATAAGTA